AGGGTCTCCACCATATGCAAAAATTACCTCAAAATGGATCAATGATATAAGAACTAAAACCATAAAACTTGCAGAAGCAGCATATGGGTGAATCTTGAATTTGGCAGCAGATTCTTAAATACGACATCAAAAGAACAAGCAACCAAATAAAAAAATGATAAATTGCACTTCTTCAAAATTAAAAATTTTGCGCATTAAAGGACATTATCAAGACAGGGAAAAGATGACCTCCAGAATGGGAGAAAATATTTACAAATCAAGTATGTAAAGAGACTGTAACATCCAGAGTATATAAAGAACTACTACAACTGAATAACAAAAAGACAAACAACTCATTTAGTACGTTCACCCAGAGAAGATATACAAATGGCCAAATAGCACATGAACGTTCAACATCATTAGTCATTAGATAAACAGAAGTCAAAACCACAATGAGATACTACTTCACACCACTAAGAACACTTATCAAGAAAACAGAAAATGACAAGCGTTGAGAACGTGCAGAAGCTAGAACCTTCATCTATTGCTAGTGGGAACGTAAATGGTGCATCCACTGTGGAAAAAATTTGATGGTTCCTCAAAAAGTTAAATACAGAATTACCAGTGACCTAGGGATGTGAAGGGAGTCCCTGGGTGGCTCAAACGATTAAGCACTCAGCTACTAACTGAAAGGTTGAAGGTTGGTGGTTTAGAAGACAGGCCTGGCTATCTACCTTCTAAAAGGTAACAGCCAATGAAAACGTCATGGAGCGTGGCTCTACTCTGAATGCACACAGGTCGTCATGAGTTGGACTTGACAGCAACTGGTATAACTGGTTAGGGATGTGAAGGAGTTACCGAAGGAGATATATGACAAAACATTGTTCCAGGAAGAGGAAAGAGGCCAGAAGGTGAGTGTGGCTTGTATGTTGCAGGTAGAGCCAAAGGCCAGCATGACTGGGGCAGAATAAGATGTGGAAAAGCAATAATAGAGGAAGGTGAAGGGGTGATTGGGGTAGATGGATGTATCATGTTCTAGGGCAACTGGTGGCAATTGTAAAGCCTCTAGCTTTTGAGTGAAATGCAGAGCAATTTCAGGCTTTTGTGCAGAGAAAAAAAGTGATCTGACAGCTCTTAAAAGATCTTTGTGTAGAGGGAAATGTAGAAGCTGGCAGATCTGTTAGACGTTTATGGCCACAATCCCATGTTGAGACTGGAGTGGTGGCAATAAAAGTGAGTGTGTAAGGGATGGTTCCCAGATATTTTTAAGGTGCAGTCAACAGAAATTCCTGATGGACAGAAAGTTTGTGCGTGAGAAAAAGAGGTAGCAAGAATGAGTGTGTCCAAGTGTTTTACCTGTAAAAACTGAAAAGATGGAGTGCCATCAACATAGATGTGGAAGGCTTCAAGGGGAGCAGATTTTATGGGAAAGGATGCAGAGGTTACTTGGGGCTTGCTGAGACTGAAATGAGGATAAGACATCAAAAGGGGAAAGAAACAGAAAAAATAAACATTTTTTTAAAAAACTGTAATGGGGAAAAAATGGTCTTTACAATAAATGGTGCCAGGACAACTGGATTTCCACATGCAAAAGAATGAAGTGGGAACCCCGCAGCACACCATATACAAAAATTAATTCAAAATGGATCAACAACCTAAATATAAGAGCTAAAACCACAAAAACACTGTTTGTAACAGTTTCTAAATGAAAACTTCGCAAATATCCTCAAAAAATAGAATTGTTACATTATTCCAGTATATTCCACTCAGAGAACATTACAGGGCAATTAAAGTGAATGTACAACTCATGGAAGTTCTCCTAATGCAAATCTGAACTAAAAGAATTGCTATATAAAGTTTATACAGAGTTTTTCTATTCATTTGCTACATAAAAACCACTAAAATTAAAATGTATTTATTTGGGTATACATAATGAAAACCAAAAAACCCACTGCCGTTGAGTTGATTCCGACTCATAGCGACCCTACAGGACAGAGTAGAACTGCCCCATAGGTTTTCCAAGGAGCAGCTGGTGGATTCGAACTGCCGACCTTTTGGTTAGCAGCCAAAAGCTTAACCGCTATGCCATCAGGGCTCCTTGGGGATACATACATAGATTAAAAAAAATATATAAATAAAAGCAAAGAAATGATTCTCAAAATTATTGAGATACTGGTTAAAACAAGAGGGCAGAAAGAGATGCTGATTAGCAATCAACTCATGGCAGGGGGAGGGGGAGTCAAGAACGGTATATCCATTACATGGATGTTCATTGTACATTTTGCTCAACTGTACATTTAGTATAAATTTTTTTGTATGTATGTAAAAAAGTAATACAGAAATGGAAAGAAAATTCACAATCAGAAAATAGGCATATACAAAAAAGGAAAATCAAAGAATATACATAGTGAGAAGTTCAACACTTTCCCAGAAAACCAGCTGAAAAACAAGATATCCATTATTATATTCCTATTTAATCTTAGTCTACAGATTTTAAACAGTACATTTCCCTCAAAAAAATAAAGGCGGGGGGGAATGGTCTCGGGGAATATCTAGCTCAATTGGCATAACATAGTTTATAAAGAAAATGTTCTACATTCTACTTTGGTGAGTAGCGTCTGGGGTCTTAAAAGCCTGCGAGCAGTCATCTAAGATACTCCAATGGTCTCACTCCTTTGGCAGCAAGGGAGAATGAAGAAAACAAGATACAAGGAAAAGATTAGTCCAAAGGACTAATGGACCACAACTACCACGGCCTCCACCATACCGAGTGCAGTACAACTAGATGGTACCCGGCTACCACTGCCTGCTCTGACAGGGATCACAACAGAGAGTCCCGGACAGAGCTGGAGAAAAATGTAGAAAAAAATTCTAACTCACAAAAAAAGACCAGACTTACTGGCCTTACAGAGACTGGAGAAACCCCGTGAGTAAGGCCCCCGGACACCCTTTTAGCTCAGTAATGAAGTCACTCCCAAGGTTCAACATTCAGCCAAAGATTAGACAGCCCCGTAAAACAAAATGAGACTAATGGAGCACAACAGTTCAGGGACAAGGACTAGAAGGCAGGAGGGGACAGAAAAGTTGGTAATAGGGAACCCAAGGTTGAGAAGAGACAGTGTTGACATGTCGTGGGGTTGTTAACCATTGTCATAAAACAGTATGTGTACTGTTTAGTGAGAAACTATTTGGTCTGTAAACCTTCATCTAAAGTACAGTTAAAAAAAAGGGGGTGGAGAGGGGGAGGAAGGTTAAGCATTTTAAGGTAAAAAACAGAATCCATTCTATTTTATAGCTTAAACAGTTATGTAAGTACAACGCCAAAAGCATATACACGTGATTACAGGACTAAGAGATTTTAGCATATTTCTCAGGTTGCAAAACCTCAAAGTAAGGTTTATTTTATATATTATATGCACTAGTACCAAGCATGCTTGCTGAAAGTGAAGAGGACTTCAAGCACTTACTGATGAAGATCAAAGACCACAGCCTTCACTATGGATGAAGTCTAGATGCTCTAAGGAATACGGCACAGGGCCTTGTCCCAAGTATGGATGTGTGTATGTACAGACATGTACATATATGTATAGTTATATACATATAATTGTGTGTGTGTGTGTGTAGCTATAACAAATCAGCATAGTATAAGTATTGTACAGATGTTTCAACAAACAGATGCAACGCTGGAAGCATTCACTCGCCTATGTCAAGAAATCTGGAAGACAGCTACCTGGCCAACCAACTGGAAGAGATCCATATTTGTGCCTATTCCAAAGAAAGGTGAGCCAACATAAATTATCAAACAATACTATTAATATCACACACAAGTAAAATTATGCTGAAAAATCATTCAAAAGCAGTTGCAGCAGCACATTGACAGGAAACTGCCAGAAATTCAAGGCAGGTTCAGAAGAGGACGTGGAATAAGGGATATCATTGCTGATATCAGATAGATCTTGGCTAAAAGCAGAGAATACCAGAAAGATATTTACCTGTGTTTTATTGAATATGCAAAGGATTCAACTGTGTGAATCATAACAAATAATGGAGAAGAATGGGAATTGAGAAGAATGGGAATTCCAGAACACTTAATTGTGTTCATGATGAACATGTACATAGATCAAGAGGCAGTTATTCGAACAGAACAAGGGGTTACTATGTGGTTTAAAATCAGGAAAGGTATGTTGAGAAATAATCCAAGAAGCTGGACTATATGAAGAAAGTGGCATCAGGATTGGAGGAAGATTTGTTAACAACCTGCGTTATGCAGATGACACAACCTTGCCTACTGAAGAGAAAAGGACTTGAAGTACTTACTGATAAAGATCAAAGATCCAGCTTTCAGTATGGATTACGATTCGACATAAAGAAAACAAAAATCCTCACAGCTGGACCAATAAGCAACATCATGATAAACAGAGAAAGGACAGAAGTTGTCAAGGATTTCATTTTACGTGGATCCACAATCACTGCCCATGGAAGCAGCAGTCAAGAAATCAAACGGCATATTACTGCACCGGGCAAATCTGCTGCAAAAAACTTCCTTAAAGTGTTAAAAAGCAAAGATGTCACTTTGAGGACTAGGGTGTGCCTGACCCAAGCCATGGTATTTTCAATAGCCTCATATGCATGTGAGAAATGGACAATGACTAAGGAAGACTGAAGAAAAATGGATGCCTTTGAATTACGGTATTAGCGAAGAATACTGAATATACCATGGACTGCCAGAAGAATGAACAAATCTGTCTTAGAAGAAGTACAGCCAGAATATTCCTTAGAAGCAAGGATGGTGAGACTTCACCTCACATACTTTGGACATGTTATCAGGAGGGACCAGTCCCTGGAGAAGGACATCATGCTTGGTTAAGTACGGGGTCAGCAAAAAAGAGGAAGACTCTCAACAAGATGGGACTGACACAGTGGCTGCAACAATGGACTCAAACATAGCAACAACTGTGAGGATGGCGCAGCACTGGGCAATGTTTCTTTCTGTTGTGCATGGGATCGCTGTGAGTCAGAATTGACTCAATGGCACCTAACAACGAAAACAACAGTTTATTTCCAGACTCTATAAAGAAGCCCAAAATAGTCACAGAAAGATGAAATAACATTGCAAGACTATGTACAGCCCTGTCAGTACTGTAGTAGTGTAAGGTAACTGCAGAATAAAATTCAGTTAAGATACCATTTCATACCCATTACAAAGCAAAAGTTAATTAACTTGATAATCCCTGTGTTGCAAATCTCTCTCCCTTTCTTTACCCAACACAGTGTGAGAGATGAAGCTGCTGTTTTAGAATTGCACAGAAAAGGCTGCAGTGCCTCAGGGAAGCTAAGAACACTTTGCAGTGATGACACAGGATGGCTCTGGAGGGCCTGGGGCTCAGCCTCCTCAGCCAGAGCTGCTCATCTTCAGGCTCTGCTCTGAGAGTCATATATGGAAGGTGACCCCAGGCATCCAAGGCTTAAAAATTGTGTAAAGGCCCTGTGACAGTGGAGCAGGGCCTTAGGATGCCTCTTAGGATTTAGTCACTTGGCCTCTTCTACCACCTTTGACCTCAGAAGAAACAGCCTGGAGTACACAGCTGATCCCCCACCATATCATATTTAGCCTCGCCTCCTTACGCTAAGAATTACCCAGTTCTCTGTAGTACTCACCATTTCCTGGCTCCAGATTATAGAAGTTAAGTGAATGTCCTCTCTGAGCCCAAGAAACCAGTTAAGGTAAGAGTGGAAGCAGTACCACTAGGCAGTCTGGAGGCAGGGAAGTAATGTTTGATCCACACGGCCAGGCAACAGTTGAAATCCTTATTTGTGATTTATGGATATGCAAGATAGGTTCCCAGCTGCCTAGACTGGACCAGTTCTCCCTGTGCCACACCTGGGACCTAAAATGGAAGAAGATGGGGCAGTGGGGGAGAGTGTTGAATAAGGAGGGCGTGATAGGTTCTTGGCCTTCAGCTTCATCCATGGGCAGGGTTTCCTTCCAGGTTCAAGGCATTGTTCTAACCTGAGGGTATCTGCATTCTTCACCCAGCTCCACAGGCTTCTTCTTTCAGGTAACAAGATCACAGATGAAGCAATTTCCTTATCCTGGAATAGAGAAACACACAGGACTAGCCATGCTGGAAAACTTGAACCTGATTTCCTGCAGGGTGTCAGAGGCCCAAGGTTGAGGCTGTGCATTTGCCTGGGTAACTCTGTTCCTTGTACATCAATACAGATATTTACATTTGATATCAACATGGGTGAATTTTCAGGGAGAACATATTTTTCAAGTTTGGTCAAAGAATCCATCATGTTTGCTTGATTTTTTACTATATACAGTTAAAATCTTGTTTTTTAATTTTCATTTATATGATTGTAAAACGTGATCTATAATTTTCCTATTAACATTTTTTTCTTTCTCAAGGTTTTTTTTTTTCCTTCCTTTAATTTGGAGACCTGGCACCACCAATCCCCAACCTTTCCAGAAATCTGATGGGATTCCTCAACACTTTATCAGTCTTATAATTAATCCATCAACCAATCAATCATAAATTCATTTAGTTTTCTCTAAGTAGCAGTCTCCTGCCTGTTTCTGTTTCTTTCTACCACAACTCCCCACCCTACTGACGCCTATTCTTTTATTTCTTGAACTCAGTGTAAATGTTCTCTCTAACACGGTCTTTATACCAATGTCTCCCCTTTAAGCATTATTCTTCCTTTTATTGTTTTCTCTAACAGTACTCTCTAATTTCAATACACATCTTTATTTCTATACTTATTATTTTCAGCATAAATTGGAAGCTTGTTAGGTATACAGGTAGTCCCCAACTTACGACGGGGTTCCGTTCCACGACTCCATCCTAAGTTGGTTCTCATATAAGGTGAATACCTCATTTTTGAAAAAAGTTTTCATTATTATTGTCTTTTATTATCATTATCTTTATTCATCTGATATTTGTCTTTGGAGGTTGGAAACATTACTTATAAACATCTCTGAGCAAACATCCGAGAATAACATCAGCAAATTATGCGGAGCAACACTGTTGTTGTTAGGTGCCGTCGATTCGGTTCTGACTCATAGTGACCCTGTGTACTACAGAACGACACACTGCCCGGTCCTGTGCCATCCTCACAGTTATTGTTATGCTTGAGCCCATCTGTTGCAGCCACTATGTCAATCCATCTTGTTGAGGGTCTTCCTCTTTTTCGCTGACCCTGTACTTTACCAAGCATGATGTCCTTCTTCAGGGACTGAACCCTCCTGATAACATGTCCAAAGTATGTAAGACATAGTCTCACCATCCTTGCTTCTAAGGAGCATTCTGGTTATACACACAGCAACACTGTATGTAGTACATATTACTAACGATAAAATATACAAAAAAAAAAAAAAAACAGTCTTTAAGTACAGTATGTCATAACTCGAGTATGTTGTAAGTCGAGGACTACCTGTATGGAATCTCAGGCCTCATGCCAGACCTGCTGAATCAAAATCCACATTTTAACAAATCACTAAGTTACCACATCCAAGTTTGAGAAGCACTAGTTGCTTTATAGTCTCTAACGGAAGAAACGAACACTCTGCCCACTGGTGCCCTTTGAATTATCAACATCTACATTGTATCATTCCATTAACTTCCTGATCCACAAACATGCTCCAGGTCGAGGCCACCTCATAGTCTTCCTTAACTTGTTCATAATTCGTTCCTGCCTGACTTCATTAATTTCTGGCCATTACTTCCAAAATCTATTTGCAGTACAAGAACTGCAGTGTCCTGCTTTAACTCATAAACATATTCACACCCCATGCCTGTGTAATGCTCATCAGTGGAGGTCTACTTTTGGCCTTTGAAAAAGGCCAGAGTAGTTGGTCTGGTTCAAAATGACCTGCTGTCATCACCCCATTCAGTCTAGCTCACACTTCTCATCTTTATTTTCTCTGCTTCAACCACCTCTGACTTTCATCAAGGAATGGATGATACTGGATTCTCTACTGCCTCAGGGCATATTCACTTTTCCCACCTGAAATACTCTTTCAACCCCCATCCCTACCACATACCTTCAACCACGCTCATCCACCTACGTAGCTAAATGCTAATAACTTTTATGAACCTTAAATAATGTTTCTTTTAAAGCAGTATAACCTGTTAGATGGCCCTGCTTTTTCATTGTTTACTTAAAATTGTCTTCAACACTGTAATATCCAGGGTTTTGCATCATGTACTTTTTTTTCTGTTCTTTCTAGCTTATGACACTGATCATTGAAGTCACACACAGAATAATCAAATACACAGATCATAACATATTTTATATATGCATTACGTATATATATAAAACAAATATGTATGTACATATACAGTCAGTCCCCGACTTTGCAAGTATTCGAGTTATTTCGATAAGTCGATCATTGTCTGTATTAAACTTTTTCTGCCACATTATGTTGGTCATATTGTTTCTCACACAATCAGGAAGAAAATGTCTGCCTTACAGCCAAAGAAAGTCCTCGAAATATGCCTCTTACTAAATTGTTTCTTCCTGAAGTGCAGGTACTAGTTACAATTCACGTTATTTAATTCATCTATGTTAACGAGTATAACCATTAAAGTAAGGGATAATATGCCTCACAGTAATTTTTTTTAATAACCATCAATAACGTAACAGAAGTGCGGGGCAAACTGGAAGAGGCAGCAGGGCATTTAGCGTCAGGCTAGCTACCCTCGGTTTCGCAGAGGCTTGTGACTTTGTATTTCTCACAAACTCCCAGCAGAAGGTGATACTGATGGTCTCCACCACGCCTGTGTGCGCCCATGATGTACACGATCTTACCTATTAATTCACCGACAGACCTAGGGCTATTCCACCTACCTGGCTGTCCCGAAAGCAGCCTCCCGGCGGGCGCGGAGTACTGAGCCGGGGCTGTCAGAGCAGGCGCTTCGCTGCGCCGGTGGCCGAGTCCGAAGCGGCGGAGAAGAGGCAGCGACGGCGGCGGGAGCCTCCAGGCGAAGACCGGCTAGCTGAGGTCCAGCGGCTCTGGACCATCCCGTGAGGCCGGAAAGGCCAGTAATGCGCAGGAGCCGAGCAACTTCCTTAGAATCCCAACTTGCCCTCCGCGTCTGGTTGGTTGTACCTGGTATCGGGCCAGCCCCGAAGCCCACGGCGCGAAAACATACGTAACGCAACCGCCGGCGGCGCACGCGCAGTTCCGCTTCTGAGATAAGAGACACACGGTGCGGGGAGGGCGGGGCTCCGTGTGGGGACGCAGAGGACGCCGGCCGGTGGCCAAGACGTTCTGGGCATTCCCCTGACCTTGGGATCTAGCCAGTGTTGTATTTATTTCCTCTAAAGAGAAAACCCTTCGAGTTTCTTAAACGCAGATTTGAGCAGACAAAGATTTGCAATCCCTTTGTGGAGCGGAGAAAGTACGTGTTTGCATATTTCCTATTTCAAAAGAAATTTACCATGTTCTTTAGAGAAATGATGGGTTTTTTGCTGCTCCTAAATAGTTGCTCATTTTCAGAATCCCTGAAGTCCGAAGTGTTGGATTATATTTCATGGTTTGTCGTCTTTTGCATATCACATACCTTTCCCCTGGAGCAGGGCACCAACCCAGAAATCCCAGTGTGATCTCTCGATGAGCTGAAGACCATGGAGACAGGAGTTCTCCAGGGCAGATACTAGTCCTTGTGAGGAACAGCATGTAAAAGGTGAAGAAGTTTTGAAAATGACATTTATGAACAGTTTTTACTTTTTTCTCAGGTATAACACATACAAGGCATAACGTGAATTAATTTTAAGTGTGGAACTCCATTAATTTTTATATACACTCATATAGTCTACTCTGACATCAAGTTACGGAACATTTCCACCATTTTCTGGTGCCTTCCCCAGTTGAGATTCACCTTAGGAGTGACCGGTATTGTGAGTGTTATAGCCAGAGATAAGTTTTGCCTATTCTTAGAATTTAATATCTTTGGAAGTATACTGCATTGTGTCTGACTTCATCTACTCAGTATAATGTCTGTGAGATTTTTATCTGTGTTGTTGCATATATCAGTAATTTGTTTTTTGTCGCTATATAGTATTTCATTGCATGAATATACTACAGTTTTTTTTAAACTGTTCTTAAGTTCTGTATTATATCCCAGGACATGATCTATCTTGCTGAATGTTTAATGAGCACTATAAAATAATGTGACTTCTGCTGTTTTGGGGTGGAGTGTTCAGTAAATGTCACTTAGGCCAAAATGGTTGATGGCATCATTCAGGTCTTCTATATGCTTGCAGACTTTTTATCCTTGTGTTTTGTTTTGTTTTTTTTTTTCTTTTTATTTCATCTTTCAGTTTTATCAGTTTTTCCTTCATATATGTTGAATCTCTGTTGCTAGGTGTATACACATCTGAGATTATTATGTCTTTCTTCTTGAGTTCACCCTTTTTTCATTATGTAATGTCCACCTTTATCCTGCTATTTTTTATTCAAGCCTTCCTCCCTTGCTAGTTGCAGTAGCCTTTGTCTGAGGGTGAGAAGCCTGGTTCCCAGTATCTACAGTTTCTCTATGTATTTGTTCAACCCTAGTGTACATGTAGATGTCAGTTCTGGTGCTAACGTTAAGTGCTTGACAACTAGCTGAAAGGTTGGTGGTTCAAACCCACCCAGAGTCGCTCTGGAAGACAGGCCTGGCACTCTACTTCTGAAAAGTCATAACCTTGAAAATCCTATGGGGCAGTTCTACTTTGCACACATGAGGTTGCTATGAGTCAGAATCAACTCCATGGCAACCAAAATAACAACAACAAAGTATACATGTAGTTTCAGAATTGCTAATCCATGCCACTCTATGAAACAAATTTCATCAACCAAATTACAGTGTTTCTGTGCAGTTCTTTTCCTATTTAGCCTTATAGTTTCTAATAAAAACATGGTTTCTAAAGTTATTTAGATCAGCTCCTTTTTTCCTTACCAGTGTCAGTGAGCTAAGGTCAGACATTTGTAATAAAGTTAAATTCATTTTTCACAGTCTGCTTTCTGTTCTGGGAAACACAAATATCCCGGGTGATTTCTTAAATTTTGCATATATTATAGTTCATTCTTTGTGATGTATAATTCTATAGTTTTGACAAATCATTAGAGTCATGAAAACCCCAAGATAATACCGTACAGAACAGGTCCATCACCTTAAAAATACTGTTGTGAAGCCCCTTTGTAGTGAACCCCTCCCTCCTTCCTCACTCCTACCGACTGTTTTCTATCCTATCATTTTGCCTTTTCCAGAACATTGCATAAATTGAACCATACAGTATTTATCATTTTGGTCTGGCTTCTTTAACTTACAAAAGTGCATTTAACATTTATCCGTGTTCTAATGTGGATCAATAGTGTGTGCTGTTTATTGCTGAGTACTATTCCATTGTACTGATGTACCAAACTGTGTTAATCCATTAATTTATTGAAAATGTCTTGGTTGTTTCCAGGTTTTGGTGATGATGAATAAAGCTGTTATAAACATTCTCATACACATATTTGTGTGAACACAAATTTTCAGTTCACTTAGGAAAATACCCAGGAGTGGGGTTGCTATCTTGTATGGTAAGTGTATCTTTAACTTTATAAGAAATGTCCACATTTTCCAAAGAGACTGTAACATCTTGCATTCCAACCACTGAGTGAACTAAAGTTCCTGTGGCTCTGCATCCACCCCACCATTTGGAAGTGGTAGTTCTTTTTTGTTTAGCCATGTTAATAGGTGTGTAATGGCATCTCACTGTGGTGTGAATTTACACTTGCTTAATGACTAATAATGTTTAGCATATTGCTATAAGTTCATTTGTCATCCACATGTCTATAATGAAATATAATGTGAAAGCTGGACAATGAATAACGAAGACCAAAGAAGAATTGATGCCTTTGAATTATCGTGTTGGTGAAGAATAATGAATATACCATAGACTGTCAGAAGAATGAACAAATCTGTCTTGGAAGTACAATCAGAAATCTCCTTAGAAGCAAATATGGTGAGACTTCATCTCACATACTTTGGATATGTTATCAGGAGGGACCAGTCCCTGGAGAAGGACATCATGCTTGGTGAAGTAGAGGGTCAGTGAACAAGAGGAAGACCCTCAACGAGATGGATTGCCACAGTGGCTGCAATAATGGGCTCAAGCATAACAACTGTGAGGATGGCGCAGGACTGGGCATTGTTTCATTCTGTTGTGCATGGGGTTTCTATGAATTGGAACCAACTTGATGGCACCTAACAACAACAACATAGTACTGAAGTAAAAATCTCTCGCTACCTTTTCTTCTTTTTAATTTCTAAAAAATGGCAATCTTTCCTTTCTCTATGGCCTTTGCACTACATTTTTCCTCTGATTAGAATCTCTTGGTTACCTTCTCATAATTCAGCTCTCATCACAAAGAATCACCTCCTCAGAGAGTACACCTCCTCCCATCTCACTCCCTCATACTTCTTTGTTTACATCCACTTATAGGTAACAGGGCTTATTGCCCTTCTCATCAACCTATAAAAAGTTAAATCATATAAATGAAACCAAATTGAGCAGAGTGTTATGTTCACTTTTATCCATGGTGTTTCCCCATATGAAAGGTCTCATAAACAAAAGGCTGTAAAGCTCTGGTTTGTGGTGATAGCAGCATTAATACCTTTTTGTGTATTATTTGCTTAGGGTTCTGCTGGCTACTCTAGAGTTTTGTTGTCCAATATGGTAGTCAGAAGCTATATGTAGCTATTTAAATTAAAATTCATTAAAAGTATAATTTCAATCTTCATTTGCGATAGCTACATTTCAAGTGCTCAAAGAACTACATGGGGCTAGTGACTATTGTATTCACAGTGTAGAAATATAACATGTCTATCATCACAGGAAGTACTGTTGGACAGCACTGTTCTAGAGTAAATGCAATTGCTGTTTGTTGGTACAAAATATTTTCTGTGTGCTTTATGTCAGATGTGTCTAGATGAAATAAACAAATTCCTAGAAACACAAATTATCAAATGAATATCTTAACAGACCTATAACAAGTAAAAAGTTTGACTCAATAATCAAAAACTTCCAACAAAGAAAAGCTGAGTACCAGATGGCTTCACTGGTGAATTATACCAAACATTCAAAGAAAGATTAACCCTAGTCCTTCTCCAACTCGTTCCAGGAGGGAACACTTCTTATTCATTCTATGATGGTAGCATTACACTGATACCAAAGCCAGATAAACACATCACAACTAACGAAAACCACAGAGCAATATCCCTTGTGAATATAGATGCAAAAATCCTCAACAAAATACTAGCAAACCAAATCCAGCAATATATTAAGAGGACCAAACATCATGCAACAGTGGTTCAACGTGGAAATTAATAAATGGTAATACAACACATTAATAGAATAAAGGAAAAAAAACCATCATCTCAACTGATGCAGAAAGTGTTCTGCAAAACCCACCACTCTTTCATAATAGAAACACTCAGAAAACTAGGAATAGAGGGGAACTTCCTCAACCTGATAAAAGCCATTTATGAAAAATCCTCAACTAACATCACACTGAAAACTTTCCCCTTAAGATCAGGAAAAAGATAAGGATTCCAGATTTTGCCATTTCTATTTAATATTGTACTAGAATTTCAAGCCGAGCAGTTAGGCAAGAAAAAGACAAAAAGGCATCCAAATTGGAAATGAAACAGTAAAACTATCTCTATAGAAAATCCTTTAAAAAAAAATCCACAAAAAACTCTTAGAGCTGATAAATGAATTCATCCAAATTTCAGGATACAAAATCAATACACAAAAATTGGTTGTATTTCTATACACCAGCAATGGAAAATCTGAAAATGAAATTAAGAAAACAATTCCAGGGCAGGGCCAAGATGGCAGAGTAGTCAGATGCATCCAGTGGACACTTTTACAACAAAGACCCGAAAAAACAAGTGAATCGATTATAAATGACAATCTAGGAGCCCTGAACATCAAAGGCAAAGTTGAGGAACCGGACTGAGTGGCAGGGGGAGGGAGAGACAGTTCGGAAGCAGCGAGGAGTTGCCAGACATAACCTGGCGAGAACCTGAGCCCTTCAGGCCTGATCAGCTCATGGATGAGCGGTGAGGCAGGCAAGCAGCAGTGCTTAGGAGGCGCGTTTTTCACACCGGGAGAGACCAAGCAGCAGAGAATCTACTCAGCCACCCAGAACCAGTGAGAAGCAGCCCTCGATGGGCGAAAGATAAGTACTTGAGTCTGGCCTACCGCATGGATCAAAAACACCCCCCTTAGGGAAAAACCTCTCTCCCATTTACCTCCCTGATCCCTGCTCTGCACTGGGTCCTGGACCGGCTTCAGCAATTGCCGAGTCCCCTGGGCCGGAAGTAGGATCTGTCACAAGCCCTGAGCCATTCTCCCAGCCTTGGAGAGTGAACAAATTAACAAAGAGGGGAAAAATAAACTGCCAGCTCCCCTAAGCCAGGAACTCAGGGTGGGCACAGCTGCTTTGCCTAGGCACAGGCATAAGGGATCCACAGACTTTGTGTGCCTTTTCCCCTGCACAGATTTGTGTGGGCCATTTCAACAGTGTAGGCCCTCATTACCACAGTACAACAGGGTA